TTAGATAAGCTATCTAGCTGATCTCCCGCTACCTGAAGTAGTCTCAGAGGCTACTTCTCCGCCATCTTGACTCCTCCCCGCCTTCTAAATTTGTTTAACTTGGCTATTTAAAAAGTTCAGAGAGGGGCGCCTGGGTGGCTCAGTGGGTTAAGCCGCTGCCTTCGGCTCAGGTCATGATCTCAGAGTCCTGGGATCGAGTCCCGCATGGGGCTCTCTGCTCAGCAGGGAGTCTGCTTCCCTCTCTCTCTCTCTCTCTCTGCCTGCCTCTCCATCTACTTGTGATCTCTCTCTGTCAAATAAATAAATAAAATCTTTAAAAAAAATAAAATAAAAAGTTGAGATATTTCTTAGTAAATGGAAAGTGTGTTAAGTGTCCATGATGAGAAACCTCTTTTTTGGCGATTATATTCAGAAATATAATTTTTTCTTTCTCTTTGGTTTTTACTTGATTTTAAGAAGTATAGTATGTATTTTACAATTCTTAGATTATTTTCCTAGGTCAGGAAACTATTACATGGGAAGAATCAGGAGATTGTAGGATAATGTAATCCTTAAGAGTATGGGTTTTGAAGTCAAAACTGGCTCTGTCACTTACTGAATATTCTTAAACATGTTACTTAACCTTCAGTGTCCTTATCTGTAAAGTGGATATAATAATATTAATGTGTTGGGATTGTTGAGAGGAATGGCTGAAATGTTATATAAAGAACATAGTTTATGGGCACCTGGGTGGCTCAGTTGGTTCATCGATTGCCTTCGGCTCCAGTCATGATCCCAGAGTCCCAGGATTAAGTCCCACATCGGGCTCCCGGCTCCGTGGGGAGTTTGCTTCTCCCTCTGACCTTCTCTCGTCTCATGCTCTCTCTCACTTTCTCTCTCTCTCTCTCTCTCTCTCTCAAATTAATTATTTTTTTTTTTAAAAAGAACATAGTTTATTGTGGTGCATACAGCAGATGTAGAATGACTAGTAATTGCCAATACCTGGAGGAGAGATTGGATGCTTAGCCTATTTTATTGATTTGAAAATACCTTTATTGTTACTCTAAGGTGATACTCATTGTTAAAAAAAAAAAAAAAGGAAAGAAAATTTAAACAATTCAAAAAAGTATAAAGAGGGGCGCCTGGGTGGCTCAGTGGGTTAAAGCCTCTGCTTTCAGCTCAGGTCATGATCTCAGGGTCCTGGGATCGAGCCCCCCATCGGGCTCTCTGCTCAGCAGGGAGCCTGCTTCCTCCTCTCTCTCTGCCTGCCTCTCTGCCTGCTTGTGATCTCTGTCTGTCAAATAAATAAATAAAATCTTAAAAAAAAAAAAGTATAAAGAAACAAGTAATATTTTGAAAGACTGCCCTCCAGATCTTTCTCTGAACTTACATACTTAGAGATATGTATATAACATTTGACCCCCCCCCCAAAAAAAAAATGGAGCCTGTCATTTAATGTCCATGTTTACTCTAGATCGTGAAAGTTTTATGAAGGTGAATATATTCTCTTCATAGAGAGTAATGATCATCTTAAACTCAGATATTTCTCTTAGTTATTTGTTTTTTAAAATTTGGTTGTTTCAGATGGAGTTTTGATGAAACAGTGACTCATTTCATTTATCAAGGCCGACCAAATGACACTAACCGAGAGTATAAATCTGTAAAAGAAAGAGGAGTACACATTGTTTCAGAGCACTGGCTTTTAGAAGTAAGCAAGACTTTTTTTCCTTCCCTCTTTATTAAATGAGAATGTATACAAACATTGTTTTGAAGACACAAACCAGTTTCCATGTATGTAAACAAGTTTGATAACCTTAGTTAACAGTGCACACTTCATTTCTTTGGCATTAAAAACTTAAGATGAGTCCCTAAATACTTAACAACTCTTTAATGGGTACTCTTTCTGATTTCTCTGGTTCTTTTCACTAACTAAAAATTATGTGACAGATAACGTTACCGTAATTTAAGAATTAATTTAGCATGCCGATGCAGTTTAGAACTATTTCTTTGCTTTCTGAATATTTCTAGAAGTATGAATGATTCCTTGGCAAAAGCAAGGAATGAATTAGATCTTATTCTTCAGTGTACATGACATTAAAATTAGAGCAATTTTGTCATTTGTATGATGGTATATTTCAGTATCACCTACTTTTCAAAACTTTAATTATGCAAACTTTTGCCACCTTAGGATGTAATGTATTGGTTGTCCTTATTCTACTTCATGTAATTTATTTACTAAGATGTTTTTCAGTCCTGTTTAAAGCATGCCATTGTATTGCAGTGTGCACAAGAGTATAAACACCTTCCTGAATCTCTTTATCCACATACTTACAATCCCAAAATGAGCTTGGATATCAGTACAGTGCAAGATGGCAGACTCTCTAATAGTCGACTACTCTCAGTGGATTCAGCAACAAAGGATGATGAGGTAGATAATATGGATGACACATTTACCCCCTCCTTAAGCTGAATGTCTAATCATATGGTGCTTTGAAATTTTATGCAGTGACTTGGTTTAAGACATTGTTAACTTTTCTCCTTAAATAGCCAGATCATTTGCCTGTAGAAGAAAACGATATAGACAGTGTGGCCACCAGTAACAAAGAATCAGCAATATCAAATGGCGGTGGAAGGAGTGACTCTAAAGGAGGTAATAAAATATTTTAAATTACAAAAAAAATTTGTTTACAAATATATTATCTTTCATACAGAATGCTTCCATTGCATTGAAAAACAGTTGTTTTCTGTGTCGCTATAAAGCATATGTTTGAGGATTGAATTAAAGTTCCATGCCAATCATTAAGTAATAATATACAAAGCTTTAGTGATTTTTAAGTGTCAAACTTGTGAAATCTGTGGAACTAGGTATTTTACGGAAGTAGTGTGATAGCCCTATTTTGTTAAAGGTAGGTGGGATTGGTGGTTTTGTAAAGATTTCTTCTTCAGTTCAGTTCTTTTCAGTAACTTCCAAAAAGCTTTGGTATATTATATATATGACATGGTTTAAAGGTATGGAAGGATGCATGAAGAGTTTCTCCCACCCTTCCAATGTTTTTAGTTTCTTAGGTTTTTGAGTTATTAGAGTTGTTTTATGCATACATAATCATAAGTACATATGTTCTCCCCTTCTGCACTTTAAAAAAAAAAATGTATAAAGGGTAGACATACGATATATGCTGTTTTACCCTTTGATCCTTATCTTTTTTGCTTAATAGTTTGACTTGCGGAGTGTTTGATTTGGGTACATGAGCTTCTTTGGTCTTTTTCTTTTTTCTTTCCTCTTTTCTTTTCTCTTTTTCAACGGTCTAGTGTTCATTGGGTTGACTGAGAAGAAGAGGCTATAAAGCAACCAAAACTGATTATTTGAAGTTTTTAGGATTGCAGTCCAGGTGATATAGCCCACTGAAACTCCTCTAATTGCAAGCGGGGAGTACAGGCTTATATAGGCAAAAACCAGATGGCTATATAACTTGTTTTGAAAGAAATATGATTAGTGCTGTCAAAATTTATTTATTTTTAAGATTTTACTTATTTGAGAGAGAGAGAGTAAGCAAGAGAGAGAGAGCACAAGCCTGGTGGGGGCAGAGGGAGAGAGAGGAGCAGGCTCCCCACTGAGCAGGGAGCCCAGTGTGGGATTCGATCCCAGCATCCTAGGATCATGACCTCAGCGGAAGGCAGACACTTAACTGACTGAGCCACACGGTTGCCCCTGGTGGTGTCAGAGTTTAAACTGACTAATACAAGATTATCATTTGGCTAACAGGTATTGACATCTCTCCTTCAGTTCAAAATAGAAGGATATTTCTAGGAGGTGTTGGAGTTTGCAGTTGACAAGTCGCAGTTGACAGAAGTTAACAATTCATGGTGTTCTAGGAATTGAAACAGGAGACTGTGCGCAGGCCCTACTTCCTTAGCGTCCTTTGACTCTGTTTTAAGTGACTCTCTTAGCGGTGCTTCATTTTGAATCTTCTTTCACAACTGTGTGAATGGCCATTTAGCCTGTCCCTTTTGTGGGCCGCCAGTTTATTTCTGATTTCTTGCTATTACAAAGAGTGCTCCAATGAACAACTTTGTATCTATAGATGTCCTATTTTTAATGGATTAATATTTTCTATTTTCCTTACTCATCTTCTCCTACTAGAGCTTTCCTTATGACTTACCTAGTTAGTTCCACTCAGTTCATTCCAAAAATATTTAACTTAATGCCTATTTCTATATTTAATCTACAAGGAAACCAAAGGTAAATATACTGTGGTCTGCTTTCAAGGACCACAGGGGGAAAATCACATATGTTAATTCCTGTAGTTCACCTCAGAGTGCGGTACATAACACAGGAGAGGGTCACAAGCAGGCAGGGAGCTCTACAAAAGGGATAATCACCAGGTCTTAGCAGTGTGTCTTAGTAGAGCTTCTTGATTTTTTTCGTACGCAGTCATCCTGGTAAGGACTGCCTTTGTGTTCTGCAGTATTCTGCTGTATTCTGCAGTATTCCTAGTCTTAGTGCATTACTATAATGTGTAGTAAGTATTCAATAAATGTCAATAAATTTGTGTTCAGCCAGATCTAGACAAAACAGTTAATGTGTATGAGATGCGATAAAAAAGAAACTTAAAACAAGAGAGAAAAACTTAATTGTTTACGTGTTTTCAAGCTCTCACACAGACCTTGGAGATGAGAGAGAACTTTCAAAAGCAGCTGCAGGAGATAATGTCTGCAACATCAATAGTGAAACCCCAAGGGCAGAGGGCTTCTCTTTCAAGAAGTGGTTGTAACAGTGCTTCTTCAACCCCTGATAGCACTCGCTCTGCCCGCAGTGGGCGAAGTAGAGTCCTGGAAGCACTGAGGTATGTACCTGTCACTGATGGTGGAAAGGAGTGACTCTGACTTGAGAGAAAGGTAGTTCATTAGGTTCCTACTGCCTCAGTTCCATGAGTTAAGCCTAATTTTATACCTTTTGGCGGGGGAGAGGAGAGGGGGATTGTGATCTGTAAAGCCAAAGATTAGACTGTCAGGATCAGGAAAAGTGTTATACACTGGGCTTTGTTTAGCGCAAACTAAATATATTATGTATTGGTTGTGTGGCTTTTTACTGGCTCACTTTTCCTTCCTCCTTGGCTTTTTCTCCTTCCCTTCCTTGTTCCAAGCAGTTCTAGAATTCTTACTTTGGGATAGGAAGCAGACAAGGGTTTGTTCCATACCAAGCAACTGCTTTCACGTTGTGGTATGATTAATATTTTTTATTACCTCCCCTGAGAAATTATTTTAAGATCCAGTTTGCCTCATTTGAAATGGATTCAATAGGTAATTCTCTCTGTTCTGTCATGTTAATGTTAAATAATATTAGTTCTAAATTAATTTCTTACTAAAACTACATGTATTTTGTATTCTCTACGAATTTATCTTCTAGGGAAGGTGATTACAGATCACAGTGTGATATGACTGAAGTTCAGTAGTGTAACTACATCTTTTTCCTGATATAAGAATCTCCAATTGTATTGATGAATGTTAGGTGACTTGTATATTGAACTGATTAATAGAGCTATGCATCATGAGGCCAATTCTATGTCTGGATGCTGAATGAAAGTGGCTTTTTATTTACTATGCTTCAGATCATGTGTTGTCATTACAGAGACCCTAAATCTTGTGCCAAGTCAGAGTAGATAAATAAACTCAGAATAAAAGGCTATCTTCCTTGTATTTGAGGCAAATGAACTGTGGGGGTACCATCAGCTTTGGTAAATTAAATTTGCTAAGATTCCACTTACATGTATATACATAGAAGGAAAATAGTTGGAATTATATTTACTCTAGTGAAGTTGCTAAAATTATGACATAAAACACACTTCACTCTAGTTCAGTATATGGCTGCTCTATCTTAGACTCTAGGAGGTTTGGTTACCAAGAGCCAAAGGGACCTTCTTTTAAGGCAGCTTTTATAGTACTAATTATAGTTTTTATTATTTCAAGTGATAAAAATACAACATCTCCTAAGCAAACTAACCAGTTTTCTGAACATTACCATGTTTCCTTTCCCTGAGTCTGTATAATTAGAAGAAATTCCATTTTTAAATACAGCAATCATTTTAGAATTTTAAAACAATTTCTTGACAGTAAACTTTCCCCTTTGAAGTTTTAAATAAATGGAAATTTAGTCAAAAATGGTGTTTCCTTTTCTAACTAAAATATTTTGTCAGTTTCTGGAAGAAATATTTTAAAAAGAAAAAATGTCTCAAAGTGCATCTACTCAATATTTTGAGGTAGCTTACCCTTTGCTAGATGGCGAGCATATAAAGGTGAGCCTCAAATTTGCCATCTAACTTACGGAATTTATGAGTATGGATTTTGTTGTAGTTAACTGTTTATTAAAATTGTCGCTTTTATTCCTTAGGCAGTCACGTCAAACAGTACCTGATGTCAACACAGAGCCCTCCCAGAATGAGCAGATCATTTGGGATGACCCGACAGCCAGGGAGGAGAGAGCAAGACTTGCCAGCAGTCTGCAGTGGCCTAGTTGTCCTACACAGTATTCAGAGCTTCAGGTTGACATTAAAAAATTGGAGGACTCTCCTTCCCAGGAGGCTTTACATGACTCAGAAATTGCTGAACAGGGTAATGAGAAGAAATCTATTCATTTGTTTGTATTAAGTACATGTTAACTTCTTAAAAATAGATAAGCATATCTCAGTTCTCTGAATTACACATGCAAACAAAAAAAACTTGGTAGATATTTCTGATTTCGGTTTAAATGTAAGAGAAAAATTACTATGAATTGAGGTAACTTGGTAGTAAAATTGAAAAATATATTTTGATTCTTAAATTTGGAAATTGAGGATTGGGCAGTTTTTTCCATAGTTTTCCCTATTGTTCTTCCTCTCATTCTCATCCTTTATTTGTATCATTAGTGTTTGTTTTCTTCCCAGTCATCTTATTTTCATCTAAGTCTTCTAAATTCCACCCAGCAGGTACCTACATTTGTTCTTTGGATTTGTATGTGTTCCCAGTTTTTTTCCCCTCAGGCTTTACCTTGAAGACAAATTGATTCCTGTCTTTCATCTTTGGTCATCTTTTTTCCCCCCATTTTCTCATATCACATGATTATGTCTCTGCACTAGGTAGATTTTCTCCAAGTATAACATGGCTTTCATTTTACAAATTTGGGTTACATTGTTCTGATGAAAGCCGGGTAGTTAAAAGGTTGGGAGCGGCACCTGGGTGGTTCAGTGGGGTAAGTCTCTGCCTTCTGCTCAGGTCATGATCTCAGGGTCCTGGGATCAAGCCCAGCATCAGGCTCTCTGCTCGGCAGGGAGTTGGCTTCCCCCTCTTTCTCTCTGCCTGCCTCTCTTTCTACTTGTGATCTCTCTCTCTCTGTCAAATAAATAAAATTTTAAAAAATAAATAAATGGTTGGGAGGAGCCCACAGATGACACCATTTGCCTTTTTAAAAAACTAATTAATTGCATTTATTTATAAGCTCTAGAAATAGGCTATTTCTTTTTGCATGTACTTTTTACATTCCAGAATTTGTGTTTAATTTCATCTTGGTTAAGACAGATGAGAATATTTGCCTCAATTTGTTCTTAGTCGTATTTGGATAACATCACACTGCAGCATTTTATTGCCCTCAGCTCTCTGTGATCCCGGAAACGTGTGTGTGACTGAAGCTCCAAAACCCCCGATCTCTGAAGAACTGGAAACACCGGTAAAAGACAGCCACCTGATCCCTACACCTCAAGCGCCCAGTATTGCCTTCCCCCTTGCCAACCCACCAGTGGCTCCACACCCTAGAGAGAAGGTTAGTTTATCCTTAGTATGATGAAAATTTTTTTGATATAGCTATTATGCTGCATTATGAATTTGCTGGTACCACTATTAAGAGTTCGCAAATGTTGAAAACTGCATTTCTCTGCATCCTATTATTTCTGTATTTGGTAAATCAAAAAACTAAAAATGTCACTTAAAAGAACCATGTACCTGATTGATAACCTTTTTAATGTTAATTTTTTCTAAAATAAAACTTTCATTTCAGATTATAACAATAGAAGAAACACATGAAGATTTAAAAAAACAGTATATATTTCAGCTGTCATCTCTGAATCCTCAAGAACGTATTGATTATTGTCACCTGATTGAAAAACTAGGTACAAGTATTTTAAGTCAAAAATGTAACCTTCCTTGGAAGTCAGTGTAGTTGATGTCATTTGTAAGATGTACAAATTGAGAAAAAAAAGATGGGTGGGGCACCTGGCTGGCTCAGGTGGTAGAGCATGTAGTTCTTTATCTTGGGGTCATGAGTTTGAGCCCTATGTTGGGTGTGAAGTCTACTTAAAATAAAAAATCAAATAAAAGATGGGTAACTTTAAAAAAAAAAAAAAAGATGGGTAACTTAACCTGGGTGGTATGTATTGACTCAGCATTAGAACTTTGACTTTTTATACTTTTAAATCTAAAGTCACTGGGTCATAGGATTGAAAGATTTAAATTGAAACCAACCATTAAAATGACTTAAGAGTCTCTTTTGCTGCCTTGAGCTTTTGTTCCTTGATGAAATCATTGAAATTACAGACTTAAAATACAACTGCATTTTTGTGAAGCTGAAGGTATGGTAATACCCAGAGAGGAGCTCGTTCTTAGGTAACATTCTTACTCAATTATTATCAGGCTCCATCTGACATCCTGGAAGCAGCATACTAGACGGGTAACCTGGTGTTTGCTCTAAGCAGTACTGTCCAATAGAAAGAGAGCAAAGGCCACTAATTTTAAACTTAGTAGTAACCACAATTTAAAAAGGAAAAACAAGTGAAATTAATAAAGCATATATTTTATTTAACCTTTACTTGAAGTATGTTCAACATGTAATTAATATAAAATATCAGTGACATTTTGCACTTGTAGCACATCTCAGTTTGGTCTGGCTGTGCTTCAGGTGTGTGACAGCCGTGTGTGGCTAATGGCTGCTGTATTGGACAAAGTGGCTCTGCAGAATTAAGGAACGTATCGGGGGAGAACTCAATCTGACAGCTTCGTATAGAGGAAACATTAAATAATGGTTGTTTTCAATGACGGCCCTGAGTCCTCAAGAAAAGATTGTTATTTAGTGCTGTCCTGTTAAGAATGTGGAAAACTATGATAGATTTTTTTTTTTTAATATCTCTGTCAAATACAGTCATACAGTTGAGAAGCTGTGTTTCTTGGAAGCTAGACTCATGTGGAACACTGTTTCCTGGTCCCCCAATCAATTAGAGTTATAAATCAAAATTGTTCAGCTTTACCTAGAGCTTCCAGAACAGAAGAAGCTGCTTCATTTGCCTGTTTCCTATATTTTGTTCCGTTCCTGTAAACTCTGGACAAGAGTAATATCAACTAACAGAGAATTGTCTAGAAGAAGATAGAGAAGAGAGGCGGATGAGGACAGATTGTGCTGTAATTGAGTCTTGAGCAGAAAGGTTTTGATACTAGAATGTGCTCCCCCTGCTTGTGCTTGCTCGCTCTCTGTCAAGTAAATAATCTTTTAAAAAATATATTTTATAAAAGTATATATATGTGAAGTAAAATAACCATCAGTCAAGGCTTTTCAGGTTATTTGGTGCATTTTATTTATAAATAATTTTATGCTGAGTTGACATGTTTTTCCTAGGAAGAAGTTAAGAATTCAATTTTTCTCTACTTTAGGTGGTTTAGTAATAGAGAAACAGTGCTTTGATCCCAATTGTACACACATTGTTGTGGGACATCCACTTCGAAACGAGAAGTATTTAGCCTCAGTGGCAGCTGGGAAATGGGTGCTTCATCGCTCCTATCTGGAAGCATGCCGGACTGCTGGACACTTCGTACTGGTGTGTATTCAAGTTAATATGAAGAATCATTTTTCATTAAAAGTAATTGTCCTAATTGATTCCAGCATCTACACTGACTGTTCATATAATTGAAATAACCAAATGTGACCAATTAGATGATACCAATTTTATAAGGTTCACATTAACAAAGCAAAAAAATTCAGAGATCATAGTCCCAGATTCTCAGTTATATCTTTTTTTAATTTTAATCTGTTTTTTTTGTTGTTGTTGTTGTTGTTTTTCCCTCTTGGGAATAACAGAAAATTTCAGGATTACCTCATTGTAAGCTTTTATCTTTACTGCCAGCCCATTAAATATTAAATTGTCCGGGGACACCTGGGTGGCTCAGTCAGTTAAGCATCTCATCTGCCTTCCGCCCAGGTCATGATCCCATGATCCCAAGTCCTGAATTGGCTGCTTGTTCAACAGGGAGCCTGCTTCTCCCTTAGCCCCTCCCCCCTGCTCCTGTTCTTGCCGGCTCACTCTGTCTCTGACAAGTAAATAAAATCTTTTTTAAAAAAATTTTCTTAGGGATGCCTGGGTGGATCAGTCGGTTAAGTCACTGCCTTCGGCTCAGGTCATGATCCCAGGGTCTTGGGATCGAGTCCTGCATCGGGCTTCTTGCTCGGCGGGGAGCCTGCTTCTCTCTCTGCCTCTGCCTACCACTCTGCTTGCTTGTACTCTCTCTCTCTCTCTGACAAATAAATAAATAAAATCTTTTAAAAATTTATTTTTTTCGTAAAAGAACATTCTTTTAAAAATATTAAATTATCTGTAATATTTTGGTCCCTAGCTAACCATCATAGTAATATCTATCATGTAGTTTTTGAAGTTTTCAATCAAGATCCCTTAGGGATCTGATTTCTATGGACAGGTAATCAAACTATTAACACATACCTCCACTGAGAACTGTCCTTCTTTTCAGTTCTTCTTACAATAGATGAAGCCCAATAATCTGTATATTACCCATTAGTAAGGTGTAGTTATCTGTATTTCTTAGAAATGTATGCAGTATTTTTCTGATTTCTAATTAAATGTCAGAATACTTGACCCTCCCATGAAGCCAAATTAATGTATATTTCCGCCCTCTGCGCTCATAAATTGATGCTTATTTAGTGCTCTGTATTTATAACAATTGAATGTATAGCTTTTAACTCTTACGTGATTATGGACTCCTTGAGGACATATTGTAGGACCAGATCCAAGTGTGTTGTATTAATTGTCTAGGAAGAAGACTATGAATGGGGAAGTAGTTCCATACTTGATGTTTTGACTGGAATCAACGTTCAACAACGAAGACTAGCACTTGCAGCAATGAGATGGAGGAAGAAACTCCAGCAAAGACAAGAATCGGGCATTGTTGAGGTATTAACATATACATGGTGATAGGAATGGCATTCAGTGTCATGACTATTATAGATTTTAATTTTAAGAGAATATGCTTATTAACAAAATAAGGATATTCTACTTTTATGCTTTGTCAATATACTTAGTTTGGGCATTCTAAATTGGGCTTACTGTTAATTCCTAATTCTTTTAATCATGATTGAGAAGAAGATATATATAACGTTGATGGCTCTTTTAAGAATATATATGTAAGTGGGGCTCCTGGGTGGCTCAGTCAGTTAGGCATCCAGTTCTTGATTTCAACTGAGGTCATGATCTCAGGGTGATGAGATCAAGTCCTGCCATCGAACTCCTCACTCAGCTGGGAGTCTGCTGGAGATTCTTTCTCCCTCTCCCTCTGCCTCTCTCCCCGCACTGTGCATGTGAGTGCTAGCACACGCTGTCTCTCAAAATACATAAATCTTTTTTTAAAAAACTAAAAAGTGATGGTAAAAATAATTTAAATATATGTGTAAAATGTGACCCATACTATATTTCTTCCAAAGACTCTTCAGCATTTACCTTCAGGGGTTCTTAACATGGGATCCACAGACTCTCCTAAAGGGCTTGTAGATCAGACTCAGGAGGGCTGTTTATATGCTTTGGATGGGGCAGGAGAATACATCCTTATTTTTCCTCACCTCTAATTGAAAACATTTCCTTTTATTATAGAAGTCTATAACAAATCACAAACTTTTAATAGTACCTATGATTTTACCCCAACAGAAATACATCTTTGCTTTGCATTATAATTCTAAGCATCTTGAGATATTGCTTATGTTCACTTTTTTTTTTTTTTAAGATTTTTTTATTTATTTATTTGACAGAGAACACAAATAGGCAGAGTCAGGCAGAGAGAGATGAGGGGAAGTAGGCTCCCTGCCGAGCAGAGAGCCCGATGTGGGGCTCGATCCCAGGACTCTGGGATCATGACCCAAGCTGAAGGCAGAGGCTTTAACCCACTGAGCCACCCAGGCGCCCCTATGTTCACTTTTTTAAAATTGAAATATAGTTGATACACAGTGTTACATTAGTTTCAGGTGTGTAACAGATTTGTCAACTCTACATTATTCTCACCACAAGTGTGGCTACCATCTGTCTTTACCACTTTAAAATTATAATAGCTATCCAGCCACCATTAGGTCTTTAATTCATTAATATAGAAGCACACATATTATGTCACAAATTTGTAAATATTTTGATTATTTTTAATAAAATTTTTTTTTGTAATCCTTTACACTTTATGTTAAAACCAGTATTTTAAAACATTGTTCATATGACAGAAATTACATTTCAATAAGGCTGTTTCTTTAAAAGAATTATTTACAGAACAGGTCTATAAGTTTCACTGGGCTGTCAGAGGGGTCCGTGGCTCCCAAAAATGTTAGAAACCCAAGTTAAATAATCTTATGTGTTGTATGCTTAGCTCTCTACTGTGTCCAAGCTCTTCTTAGCCTTAATTCCCTTCTTTTAGAGTAATTCCACTGGCTTTTGTTGATTGTAATTCCTTAGTGAGATATTTTATAGTTCTGATTTGTAAATATTTTCAAGAGAAATATAATGGGGGTGTCATCTAATCTGAGAAGTTGTGCATTAAGTTCTACCCTGGATTAATTACAAGAAAAAGTACAAGAAAAGACTAGACAAAAGTGAAGTTGTTTTGTTTTATGTTAATCATTAAAACATTTTCCTTCATTCCTCAAGTATTTATTGATGGCCTACTGTGTGCCAAACACCATGGCTATGTGTTTCACAGTATTCTGACCAGAGACAGTTACCGCTGTGGCAGATGGTAAAGGTTATAAGATTATTTGTTGACATAAAACTAAATTTACAGATAAAATAATGTATTTTTTGCATTTATTTCCCAAATAATTTCAACACTGATTATTTTTTCATTTGTAGGGGGCATTTAGTGGGTGGAAGGTTATCTTATATGTTGACCAATCCCGAGAAGCAGGATTCAAACGCCTTCTTCAGTCAGGAGGAGCAAAGGTTTGTATTGAGTCAACTTGAAGAATTTTTTTTACACAAATTATTTTCCAACCAAGATTGCTACGATCAGTTCTTGATTTTCAGTACTTTGTGAGATGGCGGTCCTTAAGTACAGATTATACAGCTGAATACTTTGGGGCACTAGATTGTGATGCTTCTTACTTTTTTTTCTTTAGGTACTGCCTGGTCATTCTGTACCTTTATTTAAAGAAGCCACACATCTCTTTTCTGACTTCAATAAACTGAAACCAGATGACTCAGGGGTTAATATAGCAGAAGCTGCCGCCCAAAATGTGTACTGCTTGAAAACAGAGTACATTGCTGATTATTTGATGCAGGTTTGTAAGATTTTGTCCTTGATCTCCTCATCACCAGAGATAGGCTTATCTGCATAGGATGTGACTACACAGCAAAACCCTTGGCTTGTTTATTAATAGAATGTTCAGCTCCAGTTGCACTCTATACAATCCCTTTCAGTTTCATTCTATTTTTTATAATAATGAGTACATATGTAAACATTTAGCTTGGAGTTAAACGAGACAGGTATAAAAATCTAGGTACCTCTAAAAGTCTTAAAAGTGCCCTATATAATGTTGGAATATTGCTTTCCACAAATAGCTTAAGTTTTTATTTGAATGGACAAAGAAAAATCTTTGTCCTAAACACCTAAAATACCATCAGGAATCAGCAAGGTATGACACATGATAATAAATGTCTTACTACAAAGGATTTCAAACATAATGGTATAGAAATAAGGGGAAGCCAAAACTCAGCCTGCTGTATAATTTTTGCTGTTTGTGTTTGGGAGTTTTTCAGGATATATAGAAAGAATGGCTAAAACGTAAACAATAAAATCTTTGTCATAAGGCAGTGGGATGTACTGATTAGGAATCAATAAGCCAATACTAACTGCTAGAAACACCTAAATAACTTTTTTAAAAGCTCAAGTTAGGGACGCCTGGGTGGCTCAGTTGGTTGGACGACTGCCTTCGGCTCAGGTCATGATCCTAGAGTCCTGGGATCGAGTCCCGCATCGGGCTCCTGGCTCTGCGGGGAGTCTGCTTCTCTCTCTGACCTTCTCCTCACTCATGCTCTCTCTCACTGTCTCTCTCTCAAATAAATAAATAAAATCTTTAAAAATAAATAAATAAATAAAAAATAAAAGCTCAAGTTATTTTGTTCTCTGCTTTTCTCAGGGTTGTATTGTGTGTCAGGCACTAGATGTCTGGAGGAATGCAGTGGGGGAGTGGGCTGCTGTGTATTTCTACGTCTGAGCTCATCATTGCCTACCTAGCTCTCAGATGTAGATCAAAACAGAGCACTTCTGTGGGGGCAAAGCAGCAGACTAGAGAAGGGAGAGTAGTGACTTCATGTTCAAGTTCATGGTCAAGATAAGCCAAGCACAAGTAAGACTCTTGAGATAGAGCCACCCCAGTGTTCTGACCTCAGGATAAATGCAAGGGGGTGAGAGGGGGGACATTAATTAAAAAGCTGGGTGCAGTGGCTGCAGGGATCTTGGTAATGACAGTGTTCAACATGTCCTTAGCCACACTGCTCCTGGATGGTCACCCTCTATTTCAAACGGGTGTCGTCCCAGGATCTCCATTCACCATTCTTTCTCTTCTCTTTTGGATCTCCTGTTTCCGTATGCCATGTCATCCTGATCTGCTCTCATTTAGTTGAAGGTCATCTTGTAGTAACTTCTTGAGAAAGCTCATGGGAGATAAACTGAGATTTTCTATGTGTGAAAATTCTTTTTTCTGTGATTACATTTCTCTTATCATTTGGATGGGCATCAAATTCTGGGTTGGAACCTATTTTCTCCTTAGACTTCTGATCGCTTATCTCCTTCTAGTATTGCTGTTGAGTAGGTAAAGCCATTTTGATTTATAATCTCTTATATGTAACTTTAATCTATTAGGAAGCTCTTTTTGTCCCTAGTTTTGATATTTCAAAATGATAGACTATCATAAGGGTCTCATTATTATGCCACTCATGGTAGGCCTCTTCTGGTTTCGTAACTTGTGTCTTTCAGTTCTGGGAAATCTTGAATTACTTTAATAATTTTTTCTCCCTCCACTTTGTTTTCTCTAGTACTTCTGCTACTTGTATATTGGATTTTCTTACTTCACAACTATTTTTAATCTTCACTTTTTGAGAGGTTCCCTCAGTTCAGTCTTCTCCTTTTATCAGGTCTTCATTTTGCTATCATGTTTTTAATAATTAAGACCTTTTTTAGTTTTTTGAATTTACATTTTAGTATTCTAATAACACTTTTTTTGTTTCAAAGATGTAAAACCTTCTACTGGATCTCAGATGATTTACTGATTTTTTTTTTTTAACTTATTCTGGTATATTCTTTATCCACTAAGCGCATTTTCCTCTTCGTTTGGGTATTTATCTTCCATATTAGAGGAAGTTATCAGATTAAGAGTAGAGGATAAAAAGCTCATTGGAAGTACTGAGCACACAGTTGGGTCTTGGCAGTTTTGATCTGGATGCAATAGTCTTGGTGGTCTAGTTGTTGGGGATTGTCTTCTGGGTTCATACTTGGGTGTACTTCTTGAATTGTTTCAGTTTATCCAAAGAGGAGTCTTCCAGTCTGCCTGAAGGAGGAATCTGGGCACCTTTTTTTTTTTTTTTAATTGAGATATAATGACATAGGACATTAATTTCAGATGTTCAACATAACAATTGTATGTATTCATGACTGTATATGCAAAATTATCACCATACATAATGACAGATTTTCTTTCTTGTGATAACTCCCAAGATTGAGTCTTTTAGCAACTTTCAAATATACCATACAGTCTTAACTGCTGTACTCACCATGTTGTATATTACATCCTCAGGATTATTTATTTTATAACTGGAAGTTTGTACCTCTTGTTCACCCTTACCCATTTCCTCCAACCCTCACACCCTGCATCTGTCAACCCTGTCAGTTCTTTGCATCTGTCCCGTTTGGGGTTTTGGAGGGTTTTGTTTTTTTTGTTTTGTTTTGTTGTTGTTTTATCTTTGTTTTAAGATTGCATTTATTTATTTGACAAAGAAAGCACAAACGGGGAATGCAAGAGGGAGAAGCAGGCTCCTTGCTGAGCAGGGAGCCCAGTGTAGCACTTGATCCCAGGACCCTGGGATCATGACCTGAGCCAAAGGCAGGTGCTTATCTACTGAAGCACCCAGGCACCCCTGTTTTTTATTTTAGGTTCCATGTGTAAATGAAATCATCTAGTACTTGTCTTTCTTTTTCTGACTTAGCATCATGCCATCGAAGTCCATCCATATTGCTGTAGTTGGCAGGGTTTCCTTGGCTGAAATATTTTTTATGGTTGATTAATCCATTTGTGTGTGTGTGTGTGTGAATTTTCTTCATCTGTCAGTGAACACTGAGGTTTTCATATCTTGGATATTGTAAATAATGCTGCAGTGAACATAGAGCAGATATCTTTTTGAATTAGTGTTTTTATTTCTTTTAGATACATAGAGGTTTGAACTGTTGAATCATAAGGTAGTTCCTTTTTTTAAAGATTGGATTTATCATAGTGTTAATAGTTTCAGATGTGCAATATAATGATTCAGCAATTGTGTACATTGCTCAGTGCTTATCAGACTAAGTGTACTCTTGAGGTATGTTTTTTAATTTTTTGAAGAAAAAAATAATGGCTGCATCAGTTTACATTCCCACTAAAAGTACACATCCTCATCACCATTTTTTGATAATAGCTATTTTAACATGTGTTAGGTAATATCTCATTATGATTTTGATTTGCATTTCCTTGATGATTAGTGATGTTGAGCACCTTTTCATATACCTGTGACCATCTGTGTCTTTGGGAAAATGTCTATTCAGATCCTCTGCCCATTTTTTAATCAGATTGTTCGGGATATTAACCCCTATCTGATAGATAGATGATTTACAAATATTTTCTCCCTTTCTTAAGTTGCCTTTCCTTTTGCTGATGGTGTCCTTTGCTATGCATGAGCTTTTTTTTTAGTTTGAGGCCTTCCCACATGTTAATTTTTGCATTGCCTTTCATTTTGGTGTGAAATCCAAACAATTTTTACCAAGACCAATGTCAAGGAGCTCATGACGTATGTTTTCTTTTAGTTTTATGGTTTCATGTGTTAGTTCTTTCATCCAAATCTTTTTTTTTTTTTTAAAGATTTTATTTATTTATTTGACAGAGAGAGAGAGATCACAAGCAGGCAGGGAGGCAGGCAGAGAGAGGGGGGGAAGCAAGCTCCCTGCTGAGCAGAGAGCCCAATGCGGAGCTCAATCCCAGGACTCTGAGATCATGACCTGACCCGAAGGCTCAGGCTTAACCCACTGAGCCACCCAGGTGCCCCTTTCATCCAAATCTTAATCCATTTTGAGTTTATTTTTGTATATGGTTTAAGATAGTGGTCCTGTTTCAGTCTTTTGCATGTAGCTATCTAGTTTTTCCAACACCACTTATTGAAGAAACTGCTTTTCCTATTGTATGTTCTTGGCTCCTTTTTAATTTATTGTGTATACCTGGGTTTATTTCTGGGTTTTCTGTGCTGTTGATCTATGTGTCTGTCTGTGTGCTAGTACCATACTGTTTGGTTACCATAGCTTTGTAAATAGAATTTAAAATCAGGGAGCATGATGCCTCCAGCTTTGTTCTCCTTTCTCAAGATTGCTTTGGCTATTTGGAGTCTTTGTGATTCCATACAAATTTTTTTTTTTTTAAGATTTTATTTATTTGACAGAGAGAGATCACAAGTGGGCAGAGAGGCAAGCAGAGAGAGAGAGGAGGAAGCAGGCTCCCTGCAGAGCAGAGAGCCCCATGTGGGACTCGATCCCAGGACCCTGAGATCATGACCTGAGCCGAAGGCAGAGGCTCAACCCACTGAGCCACCCAGGTGCCCCGATTCCATACAAATTTTAAGATTGTTTTTCTACTTCTAGAAAAAATGCCATTGGAATTTTGATAGGGATTGCATTGAACCTGTAGATTGCTTTGGGTAGTGTGGACATTTCAATAGTGTTAATTCTTCCAGTCCATGAGCATGGAATATCTTTCCATTTATTTGTGTCATCTTCAGTTTTTCTCGTCAGTGTCATCTAGTTTTCAGTATACAAGGGTTTTATCCCCTTGATTAAATTTGTCCCTAGGTATTTTATTCTTGATGCAATTGTAAATGGAATTTTCCTTTATATTTGGAATGGCTTTCTTTTAAAAAGGGTATTGTTGGGGCGCCTGGGTGGCTCAGTGGGTTAAAGTCTCTGCCTTCGGCTCAGGTCATGATCCCAGGGTCCTGGGATCGAGCCCTACATCGGGCTCTCTGCTGCCCCGGGAGCCTGCTTCCTCCTCTCTCTGCCTGCCTCTCTGCCTACTTGTGATCTCTGTCTGCCAAATAAATAAATAAAATCTTTAAAAATAAATAAATTAATTAATTAAAAGGGTATCATTGGGTCTTGCTTTTTTATTGTTTAGTCCATCATGTAATTATTGGTATGATTGGATTTAGGATTTTTTGCAGTTTTCAATTTGTTTTTGTTCTTGTATTCTTCCTTTCTTGCCCTTTTTTTTTGGTTGGAGGCAGGGTGCGTTTTGCTCTATAGATTACAATATACTTAACTTTTTATGGTCTAGCTAGAATGATATTGTGCCACTTCACATAGAATGTAGAAATCTTGCAGTCACATAGGTTCCTTTACTTCCCCTGTCCTTTAAACCAGGGGCCAGTAAACTGTAGCCCACAGGTCAAACCCTGTCCACTGCCTGTGTTACTAAGTTTTACTGGCACACAGCTCTATTCACTCATTTATGTGTTCTCTTTTCTTCTTTTGCACTCCCACAGCTGGGCTGAGTAGTTGCAACAGAGACTGTCGCAGACAGCCTGAAATATTTAATGTTGGGTCCTTCAGTGTAAAGCATGGGCCAGCAAACTTTCTGTAGTTTGTTGTATATTTTCCATTGGTCTCTTACAGTTCCACAGAACAGTGTTCTGCCTTAAAGCAAAACTTGCTTCAACAGTCCTATGTAGGGTGCCTGGGCGGCTCAGTGGGTTAAAGCCTCTGCCTTCGGCTCAGGTCATGATCCTGCGGTCCTGGGATCAAGTCCCGCATCGGGCTCTTTGCTCAGCAGGGAGCCTGCTTCTCTGTCTCTCTCTGCCTGCCTCTCTGCCTACTTGTGATCTCTGTCTGTCAAAAAATAAATAAAATCTTTAAAAAAAAATCCTATGTATTTTGAGGGGATTAAAAGGAATAATATAGTCATATTTATCCTATCTGGTATCAATTTTCAATTTTCCTTCGTTCCAAAACTTTGATTTCTAGTTTTTTATTTGATTTTATGGGACCAATTCTGGTTTTCTTTTGAGAGTGTCTATTTTACCTTTATGCTTGAAGGATCTTTTTTTTTTATAGGGCATAGGATTTAGGGTTGATAGTTTTTTCTTCGACTAAAGATTCCACTTTCTGCTGGCCTCCATTGCTTCTGAGAAGAAGTCAGCAGTAATTTGAATTCTTCTCCTGTATGCAATGCAGTGTCTGATTTTTTTTTTTTTCTTGGCTGTTTCATCTTTGATTTTCACCATTTATGATACTTCCAAGTGTGGTTTCTTTATATTAATCCTGCTTCATGTCTGCAGGGTTTCTTCAGTCTAAAGAGAGAAGTAAACTTCTCTCTTTCACCAAATTTGAGAAATTTTGATCATTACTTCTGCTCCATTCTTTCCTGTCTAATTTAATCACTCATACCTTTTGAAACTGTCCCACAGGTCCCTCAGGCCATGGTTACTTTGTTTGCAATCATTTTTCTGTTTTCTGACTAATTCCTATTTATCTGCCTCTAACTTCACTGATTTTTTTTTTGTTATTTTTATTCTGTTCTTAAGCCTGTTCCATGAGATTTTTTAATTATATATATATTTTTTTTTTTTTACATCTAGAATCTCTGTTCTTTTTTATAGTTTCTATTTGCTTTTTCAAGGGATAAGAGCTGCTTTAGTATCATTGTCTACTATTTCCAACATCTGGGTCATGAGCAAGATGTGCTGCTTTTATTTTGAGGTAATTGTAGCTTTACATGCAATTGTAAGAAATAATACAGTTCCCCCAGTGGATAACATCTTGTAAAAACAGAGTACGATATTACAACCAGGATGTTGACCTGATACAATCCTCCTTTCCCCACTCCTTTCCCCTCCGATTGCCCCACTTCTACTTCATGTCTGCCAGCGCAGTCAAGACACAGAACAGTCTGTCACTACAGTCTTTCATTTTGCCTTTTCTTGACTACACCCACCTCCTTCCCGTCATTCTCTTCTCCCAGCGGTCTCTCATACCAGTTAATCGCGAATCTGTTGTCAGTTTCTTTAAATCTTAAAATGAGTCAATATAGTGTATTTTTTTTTTTAGCAAAATTATCTTGAGAATCATTGAGGTGTTGCTTGTATCAGTAATTTTTTTTTACTTTTTATTGCTGAACAGTTCAGATATACTACAGCTTAACCATTAACGTATTGAAGGACGTCTGGGTTGTTTCTACTTTGGGGCTATTATGAGTAAAGCTGCTATGAACATTTTTTGCACATGTTTTGTGTGAAAATAAGATTTGATCGCGCTAGGATAAATTCCTAAGTTGTGTGTGTCCAGAGTGATCATATTTTACATTCCTACCAATACAAGTGATCCAGTTTTTCTGTACCCTATCATTTGTCACTTTATTTTAGCCATTTCGGTATGTCATAATCTCTCATTATGGTTTTAATTTGCAGCTCTGTAGAATGCCTTTGGTGTGCTTCCTAAATGTCTCAGGGTAGTTGCTTTTCATATATTTGGGTCAGAAGTCGTCATCAGGGAAGAGTTGAATCAAAAGGCACTCACCCAGTATTTTGTGATTCATTTTCATGTTATCCAGTCTGCCATCTTGCTAGAAAATTAAGTTTTATCACACTTATAATAAGGAGGGGAGAGATCCTTTAAGGTTGGAATGTGGTTGTGAGGAAGAGAAGTACAAGGATTTTATTTTCTTTTTTTTCCTTTTTTTTTTTTTTTTTTTAAGATTTTATTTATTTATTTATTTAACAGGCAGCGATTACAAGTAGACAGAGAAGCAGGCAGAGAGAGGGGGAAAGCAGGCTCCCTGCTGAGCAGAGAGCCCGATTCGGGGCTTGATCCCAGGACTCTGGGATCATGATCTGAGCTGAAGGCAGAGGCTTTAACCCACTGAGCCACCCAGGTGCCCCAAAAGTGCAAGGATTTTAGAGGCAGTATATGAATTTTGGCTTTGCCACTTGCCAGTTATAAAAAAAGATTAAATAACATATCTTATCTGTAAAATGAGGAATAACAAATACCTATCTCACATGTTTTAAGATTAAATAAAAAAGATTTTAAAAATTGACAATATAAGGTGTCACATCTTAACCATACTTTACAAATGAAACCATTATCAAGATCTAAGCTGGCCCAATTCCACCTGAGCTATATATTTTTTTCTGCTAAAAGGTGAGATTTTGTCACACCGGTTCTGTTCCCTAAATGTGATGTGCTAAGTAGCATACCTTAAAAGACCAATTTTAAGTTTTTCTGGTTATAGAGCACAGTCAAGGAAAAAATATGAACAATGTTTTTTCCTCTTTTATAGGAATCCCCTCCTCAAGTAGAAAATTACTGTCTCCCAGAAGCAATTTCGTTTCTTCCAAATAATAAGGAACCTGGGCCTGGATTATCACAGAAGAGGAAAGCTCCTACAGAGAAAAATAAAATGAAACGACCTAGAGTAAACTAATAATGTTTACTCTTCAGTCACCAAACATTAGCATTTTTAACTATAAAGTCTGAATGTTAGTCCTGGTTTTGCATAGTAATTTAAAGACAAGTGTCTGAAGAAGAATTCAGCTTCAGAGTGTAATGATGACCTTGCTTGTAGTTTTTAACACCTGAAATTTTAATCACTGAAATATTAACTGTTTTACCTGAAATAACAACAAAACACAAAGCCTTAGCTAGCTTGTCATTAAACTGCATTGACGGTGTATGGGGCTGTTTATTTTCTTGTAAATATCTGAGACTGTAGCTTAGTGGAAGTTTTAGTAAGGTGATAGATTTTGCCTTAAGATGCCTGCTTTAATTCGTAACAATAAGGAAGTTGTCAATTGGGATTTATTCATATTTTCCCTGATTCTTCTCACCCCTTTCCCTCTTTTTAACAGGAGTCTGAGTACAAGGTTTAATGAGGAACTGAGGCTTTAAACTTAAATATGTGTGAGTGTATATATGTATATGCATGTTTGTACAGATCTCCATGATGTTTGCCAAGTTTGGGCGCCCAAACTTGGAAAATAAAGACAATAAAGAATAAAAGTGACTCATACAAGTTTTTAAATGCAAAGCATTCTGGTGTCCATTCTCTTGTTGAAGCATTAAATGATTATAAGATTTAGCTTGAAAAGCAAATTGCTGGGGCACCTGGGTGGTGCAGATGGTTGAGCATCTACTCTTGGTTTCAGCTCAGGTCCTGGGATCAAGTCCCAAGTCAGGCTCTGGGCTGAGCACAGAGTCTGCTTGGATTCCCTGTCCCTTTCCCTCCACTCCCCCTCCCTCCCTAAAATAACTTAAAAAACAAAACTCAATGAGTTGCTAGTTATATTTCAGATGTTTGTTACTTACGTAGGATATTCTGTTCCTGGGTTAAAAACCCTTTTATTGGAACTACAAAATTGCATTAGCCTTTATTAATCTAAATGTAAACACCAAATACTACATGTGTTACCACAGTCCTGGAAACGTAAGGCTACCTCATTTTGCTGAAAGGAGGAACCAGAATCAGAACCATGATTTTGATGTAAATGGTCCCATTTCATAATGACTCTTTGAAAGGCAAACTCAAGTGGCGAAGGGTTGGAATTCTTAACCTGGACACAAAACCCCTCAAGTTTTTAGTCAGATCTTCCTCTAAATGGAGAGAAATAGTAGTAGGGGTTATCCTGACCCTTCAGAGGTTTTGGCTTTGAACTAAATTCACAGCTCAGGACAAAAAGTCCTACACAGCCAAATAGATAGCGTTGTCATAGAGCCTGCTCCGTCCCCAAACAAAAACACCCAACATGCTTTTACCAGGGCCATTTTGTGTGAGTGGAGTCTTTTCACTTGGCAGTTTGCAGTAAGTTTCCCTGAATTTCATCCTTTAAATTCTTTGAAATAGTCACTACTGTTCAAAACGATTTCATGTGCACTCTGTTAAAGAGAATGTTAGATCCTCTTTCTAGCCCAGATAAAATTACATAATGTACCATTTTCTTTTCTGCCAAGATTATGAACTGTTTTTTTCAGTCAGTTCTTAAATAAATAGTTTATAATTTTAAGATTCCAGCTCTCACCGGCTCCTCCTGATTATTCAGAATCTCTAATCGACCATTTCAAGCTTTGGCTTCCATTCTTAGAGTCCTAATGCCAGCAAGGCCTTGCATGCAAATAGTTCTAAGCACAGGAAGTTCTCTCATTTAAGAAGGAAAGAAAGCTTTCCTTGATTATTCTTAGTTTCTCCTCAGAATTGCTACAGTATTTCAATGTGACACGTCAATTAGAATCTTACATTCCTCTGTGGGTTTTCATGTGCATCAGTCTGATAGCCAACATTCCTTAATTCAACAAATATTCCTTAGCATATACGTAGTGCGCAGGATTCAGGAGCAAACCACCTTTAGGAAGCATGCTTTCTCAGAGATTAGAGAGGCAGGATCTGCATTACAGACTGAACTGTGCTGCACACACATACGCAGATTCAGAGGTTGCAGCCTAATCCCCAAAGTGACAAACTAGAGCTAGGGCTTTTAGGGAGGTAGTTAGGTTAAGCAAGATTGTACAGCTGGGGGCCCTAATTCAGGCAGCTCATGCAGGACTAATTTACAGCACAAAGATTCTTAACCTGGGGGCCATCATGGCTAGAATGGGCATGGGCACAATTTGGTATACGTGCATTTTCAGGGCAGAGCTCAGTTTTACAACTCAGGTCTGTGACTTACCACCCAAAAAAGACAAACCACTGTTATAATCTAAACCTAAATCTAAATCTATAAATCTAAACATTTCACCCAGCAGTGCTTTAATACACATCGCTTTATATCAGGAGTTGGCAAACTTTTCTGTAGAAGTCCAGATAGTCAACATTTTAAGCTGAGCTGGGTCTTTGTGGTATTGTGTCCCAACCATTCTTCACTCAAACCCATACAAAAATAGGCAGTGGGCCATAGTGTGCCAATTCCCACTCTGTAATCCTAAAAAGACTTTTTAATCTGGATCTGTCAACAAAGTAAGCCACCCAGCTCTGTTCCCACATCTCAGCATAAACCTCACCTCTAGTGCAGCAACCCATGATCAGGAGGGAACTCCTGACCCCAAGCTTCTCTCTGAAAGGTGAAGGGTTTGAACCCCATATCTGGCACCCCAACTTTTAAGACCTGCCCCTCAGAGATGAGCTCCCAAAACATCTAGCTTTGAAAACCGAAGGGGCTGGCTTCCATGAGCCCACATGGCATCAGCAATCCGAGAAACAGCTTCTTAAAGGGCTGACATGGACCCATCCACTCTGGAGCCCAGAGCAGATGCAGCTGAAAAGTGCCCCGACCTTTTGTGAGAGAGGCCTAGTTAGCTTATCTTAAAGCTTCAGCCCGAGGGGCAGGCATCCAATTGAAGAGGAAGGACCTACTTAAATACCCTCCAAAGTCTTGAGGCCTGGCAAGTGCCATCTTGCACTCTCCCTCTGCCACACTCCCAGCCACTACTATTTCCTGGAAGGGAGCTTGTTCACACATTTGGTGCCCTGCTTTAATGTCTGGTGCCCCAGTTTTTGCAGCAGCTGCCACCCAGGGAACACCTCTTGATCACCTAGCTCCCGTGGGATGGTAACAAAAGCAAAAAAGGGTTCTTAATTGGTTCTTGCCTCAGCAACTGAAATTCAGCCTCAGGCTTCTTGTGAAGGAGGCCTGGTTGCTTATCTTAACGCTTCATCCTGAAGGACAGGCTTCTAATCTAACACATCTAGAGGCCTGTGGGCACGTTCCTGCCCTCTCCCCCTGCCCCACTCCAGGTTACTGGCATCTCCCAGGAAGGAGCTTATGCGCTCTTCTGGTGCCCATGTTTGTGTGGCTTCTGTCCAGAGGACATACCTGGTCACCTGGCTCTGGTGGCCAGCAAGGCTTACATTCACAGATCTCACAGCAAATGCAGAAAGAGTTATTCACTGGGTACCTCCTGGGGCACAGCACAGGGACAGCAAACAAACACACCCACAGTCTTTCTGTGATGAGAGGTCTATTAGCTTAGCTTTGTAGCTGTGGCCTGAGGGGCTGGTTTCTAACTAAACACCAAGCTAAGATAAGGACCAACTATAATCCTTCCCAGGGACCTCAAGAAGGCAGTGGTATCTTCACACGCTCCCTCTGCCTAGCGCCAAGTCATCAGTATCTCCTAAACAGGAGCTTGTGCACATATCTGGTGGCTCATTTTTGTAACTATTCCCTGGGAAATAATACTTGACCACCTGGTTCTGGTGGTGCGCAGGGCTTACATTCCCAGGTCCCATAGGGCTGTTAATAATCCCAGAAACAGTTCTTAGCTACCACCCTCAGCACAGCATAGACCTCAGACTGAAACGCACCCCCAGTCTTACTGTGGGAGGCCAATTGGCTTCCTTATAGCTGTGGCCCGATGGGCTGGCTTCCAATTAAACCCACATCTGGAGGCCAACTATCATCTGCAGAGACCAGGACGGGGGTCCAGTGGGCACCATATTTTCATTGTCCCTCTGTCCTACCCCAGGTCACTGGTGTCTTTGAGAAAGGAATGGATATATACATCTGGTGCTCCAGCATTTATGGCAGACCCCCAGAAGATCCGTCCCACGATAGCCGGGTTGTGGTGGCTGGTGGGGCTTCTGTTCACAGGTTCAGTGGGGCAATAGCAAAAAAAAAAAAAAAAAAAAATTTAATAGGCAATTATCCCAGGACTTAGTGCAGAGGAAGCAGACAGAAGTGCCCATTTCCATTCCCCTGGAAAAGGTATATCTGCATACTTTAAAAGTTACCGTATGAGGGTCTGGCTTCCAATCAGAATTTAGGTGCTGACCAAGATCCTCCCTTTGGGACCCTGATAGATCTTGGCACACTTCAGCTACTAGGAGTCACTGATAATAAAGTAGTCTGCTTGGACAAATGGTTCAAGAGACACCCAAGAGCTAGCACAGGGTTGAACAATAAGGATCATCTACACAAGACTACACCTTCAAACTGTGTTATCTAATGCACAGAAACTAACAGAGACTCAAAGAAAATGAAGAAAAGGAAGACTATATTCCCAAAAGGAAAAAAACAAAAACAAAAACAAAATAAAACCTTAGAATAACACCATAATGAAATGGAGACAAGTGATTTACCTTGTAAAGAGTTCAAAATAATGGTCATAAAGATTCTCACCAAGCTCAAAATAATGAATGAATGAAGTTAAAATTTCAACAAAGAGAAAATATAACAAAGTACCAAACAGAAGTCACAGACCTGAAGAATACAGTAACTAAAAAAGTACAATAGAGGGGCACCTAAGTGGTTCAGTTAACTAAACATCCAACTCTTGATTTTGCTTGGGTCATGATCTCAGGGTTGTGAGATCAAGCCCCTTGTCTGGCTTTACACTGGGTGTGGAGCCTGCTTAAGATTCTCTTTCCCTTTCCCTCTGCCTGCCCACCCTCTGCAGTCTCTCCCTTTCTTTAAAAAAAAAAAAAAAAAAAAAAAAAAAAAGTATACTAGAGGGGTTCAACAGGAGGTTAGATGAAACAAAGATCAGAGGGCTCAGACAGGAGAGTAAAAGTCATTGAATCAGAGTATCAAAAAGAAAAAAGTGATTAGAGCTTAAGGGACTTAGAGGACATCATCAAGAAAACCAATATATGCATTACAGGGCTCTCAGAAGGAGAAGAGATGGGGGCAGGTGGGAGGGATGGGGTAGTGCAGAAAACAGATATGAAGAAATAATGGTTGAAAACTTCTCTGACCTGGAGGAGGAAACAAGCCCAGAGTTCCAAATAAGAGGAGCCCAAAGAGACCCACACAAAGAAACATTATAATTAAAGTGTCAAAAGTTAGAGACAACAAGGGGGAACTTGAAAAGATGGTGGAGTAAGAAGATCCTGAGCTCGCTTCCTCCCACAGACACATCAAGACTACAGCTTAATATAGTGCAACTCACTCTGAAAATGACATGAAGACTGGCAGAACAGCTCTTCCACAGCTAAAGATATACAGAGAAAGCTATATTGAGAAGGTAGGAGGACAGAAATGTGGTTAGGAACTAAAATTCCCAGTGTGGCCACCCATAGATGGG